CTGTGCACAAAACCCCGGAGAGACACATCTAAAGCTGATAAAAACTCACTCTCTTTGTCTTGCACTACCACCACCACGATGAAATTCACCTCACTCAGAGTATTATTAGACCAGATGTGAAACCTCTTTACAGTATCCAATCAGAATAAAGGTTAATGCTGTCTTTTGTGTCATGACCAATCAGAAAGAAGTCCAGATCGTAGACTAGATGCAGGCGTATTTTTACCCCTGCCAAAACAAAAATAATTGCCTGACCACAGGTTATATATGCATCTCTTATACCATAAGTAAAAAATGTGCTTTGAGAGCCTACTTATTTCTCATGTTCTTTTTTGTTGTAGTTGTTGTTTGAAACTCTGGCCTCACTCTACTTCCTGTGGGGAAAATCAGGTATCGAAAAGTTGTATCAAAATGTGCACTGTTCAGTCATAATCAACTCTTCATTACTCAGTCGTCTACCACTGCTTTTGCTCGGAACATCTTAGTACCTGGGACAAAGAAAACATAAAAGACGAACAAAATGACAACAGTTTTGACCACATTCATTGTCAGGTTCATATGCTTTTTTAAGGTTGGTATGTCTACCTTTATGCTGTCCCGAACACTTTGGAAGGAACAGTATTACGTTTTTGCTCCACTGTGGCAATTTTTCTCTAATAGTTTTCCAGATTCATATCATCAGTTGCAGCATCAGCAGATTGATTGGAGGCATGATCCCTGTATCTTGCAGAACAGCACATTTTATCAAATAGCTGAACAAGGAGACATACTTGCTGATCCTGCAGTCGATGTGGATGGCCACGAAATTCGCCCATATTGACTAGGTGACGGTGCTTACCTGATATTTCTGTGGCTGCAAATACCATTGCTGGAGGCAACAAGGGATCAGCGTGAAATACAGTTTAACCAAGAGCTATTTAGTGGCAGGGTGAAAGTCGAGTGTGCCTTTGGCTGCCTGAAATCTGGGTTGAAAATTTTACACAAGCAGCTTGACAGTGTCATAGCATTCTCCTTCAAAACTGCCATTGCCTGTGCTCTATTGCACAACGTTTGTATCAAAATGGGAGACGATTGGGATGACAATGGAAATCCTCATCACTGTGATTGTCATCATGACAACAGAGATGTTGTACGAGATGGAGATGAAATCTGAGACATCTTAAAGGAATTTCTGTAGTTGCTTGATGCATTAATTTTGAAGAAATGTTTTTAGTGGAGCCTTCATGCTCCGGGCACGCGATTGTGGAGCTCCATACTTAAGAGAAAATGGTAAACTATCCATTCGAGAAAATTTGGTTATGAAGTCACTGTATGTCTGATGACAAACTCCAGGTAGAGGTAGGTAGAAATGAATTCTTCCCCTCTCCCCTAGAGGTTTGTCCCCTACTGTTACCAAAGGTTTTAGTAATGAGAGACAAATCAGAATCTGTCAACTGAGCAACTGTTTGGTGGATTTTAGGGCCGATTATTTGACTTTTGAGAGGGTTATCAGTGATTTCAGAAAAAATCATATCCTGTAGACTGATTTCGAGGGGAAAAAAACACTTGCAAGGATTATACCTGGGAAATATAACATCCTGCACTGAAAAACATATCACTCATGACATCTAATGCTGACAAAAATCTTACACCGTTACATATACCGTTACATGTCAGGGAGAACATTTTTGACTCTAGAGAAGGGGTGTTGAAGGCACAAATGTAATAACTGGTCACAAATGTAATAAAGGTCACAAGTGTAATAACATTTGGTCACAAATGTAATAACATTTGATCACAAATGTAATAATTACCAACTTAACAATTTAAAAAGAGTAACTCACTCAGAGACATAAATTAAAGGTAATATAACTTTGTATTCTGAATTGTGCAGGGCAAAGATGACTTTCAAATAATCTCCAAACAAAGGGGAATTCAGTCAAAAGGGCCTAACAAAAACGTAAAGAACGGGAATTTGAAGAGAACTAAAAGAAGTAGGGAGGGGGAAAGCGAAAGGCAAAACTTGAGTTGACGGTTAAAGTCTTTTGTGCGAGCTTCGCAAGCTATTATTAAGCTTTGGGAAAAGCACGGCCAGTGAAATACTCTACAGGTATGCAAAGTTTTTGGATAGTTTTGAACCTTTAATTTTAAGCGAGATAGAGGCCGGAAAATGCCTCAAATAGCTCTTCTTGATGGCATCAGACGGACGGCTGCGAAGGAGACCAGAATTGGTTAAGCACGATAGGTAACCCTCATATGAATTACATGTAAACTTGCTAATTGGTTTATGATGGCATTGAGCAGTTTCAACATGCGACTGTAGTGTCACCTGTTCGTCACACAGTCCTGGCGGAAATTTTATTGTTGCAATATTGTTGCAATATGTTCTTATTTGGTTGGCACGCTTTTCTATTTACGTGTGTTTACAATATTCTTCCAAAAAATGCCAGATATTGCAAACCATCCGAATTCTAGAGGAACTAACCTCACCCACGCATGATACCATTTAGGGGATTTAATAACTGCCCGAAGGCGTTCAACAGCACTACTGCATCTCCCCTTCAGCATTACTAGTTTCCTTATGCTTATGACGACTCTTTTTTCTGCAAGTTCTGGAATGTATACCATAGGGCAAGGCGTCTTGTCTACTGTTTCTCTGAAGAAGGTATTTACACCTCGTAGGGCTGTTCTCATAAACGGAAAGGACTTTAAGGTAATCTTAATGATACTTTCTAGCACATGGTTGTTTAAAAATTGCCCTGTGTATCCTGATCTTACTCCATTCTGTAGCTCGTCATTTTTGTCCGCATGACTTATACCTTCACTTACTGTATCCCCCTTACTTCTGCAAAGTTGTTTTGTGTCCCCGTCAATTCTGAGAACATAACCTTCACCCTCTTTACCTTTGCCTGATACTCACAAGGAACCTCAAGGCCAATTCTATACCAACCCTCTTTACTTGTTTCCCGGTGACTATGACCTTTCCATCGTTGAGTCGTCAGAACGTTTTTTTGGATCCTTTATATTGTTAAGTTCGGCATGAGTGTATAAAAGTCTCCCAATCTTGGTTCCCACTCAGTCACATACTCGTGATATCCCCTAAGGAAAGAGTTTACCCATACAATTTCCTGTGACATTTTAGCTATTCAGCTCACCTTTGATTTGATGTGATATCTTCTGAAATTTTTTAAAGTTGTAAAAATTTTTACTCGTGTACAGTGTGGTGTAAAAGCGTAGGAGAGAATGTCCTCTGTGGGATTTTAGATTTCGTTGTGATTTTCATTTGTTTTAGCTTAGTTTAGATGTTTATTACAATTGTGACCAAATGTTATTACACTTGTGACCAGTTATTACATTTGTGCCTTCAACAGGGGAAAAAAATCTTACCCAAATTTAATCATCCATACCCACCTCCCCCACAAAAGTCAACTGGTCAACCACGTATGGGGTGGGGGAAGAAGCTGATTTAACACTTAAGTAATTGTCATCTATCAATGGTTATCAACAAAATGGCTTTCATTACTTTTAGGGGAAGGTAGCAAGTTTAGTGTGCGAGCAAAATAAGGAACTCAATTTAATATGCATAAAAATTTCTGTCATTAATTCTAATACAGAGAAAGAAAAATACAAATTTCACAAATTTAGCATGTGCAGAAAAAGGCAATATCACGAACAAGTGCGTAAAAAATAGAGAACTTTAGCATCAGGGTTTTTGTGGAACACCACAAACCAGCAGACCACAGAATGTCTTGTGACCACAATCTTGCGGTTGCATTTGCAGTTCATGTTTGAATGGCAGGAAGGGCTTCCAGCAATAAGTGACTTACGGCAAGGCAAGAAATAGCTTTTTATATGCTTTTCCGATGTGTTTGTTGGATTTTTGATCTCAAATCAATGAATTATTCCTGTTTTTTGGGCGATAAAAGTGATGTTGTTCGACTTGATGAAAAACAACATGGCGGTACTACACTGAATGAACAGGTGGTTCAAATCGATGTTATGTTCCTTTCTGCCATACTAACATGACAAAGTTTTCTGTTCCAGTCCGAGGTTAAAACGTTTTTCTATTGTGTGATTCCAGAAAATATCCATACCCCCCATGGATGGTCAATGGAAATTCCTAAGGGTTGTGGGGGCTAAAGGGTAAACATTTCCAAGGGGTGTGGGGGGTGCCCACAAGAAGAATTTTCCACAGGGTTGTAAAAGACGCGATCAATCGTACGGGACATACTTAAGTATATGTAGATTATTTTGATTTGTAGCACAAAAAAATCAGAAATATATGCCCTTTGAAGGCAAACTTAAAGATGTAACGGTCGGTCCGTCCGATGTTTGAGTTTAATGAAGTCTGTAAATAAATGTCATCCTTCAGGCAAATTGATCGCAATTCTCAGTGCAATTCTCAACAGGTCCCTTAAAGCTTCTCTGGGAATAAATTTTAGCGCATCGATTAATAATGTCGAACATGTATCTAGATTGTGGACTCAATTGCAGATTAGTCTGATTAAAACTTAAGCTAATAGAGAACAAACGTCTATCTCGGCACTATATTTCTTGAGCTTCGTGTAAACAACGTTATGCAAATTTCAGTTGACATTCAGAGAGCTCATCGTGACAAAGCGTTGCGTGACGACCCAAATGAGAGCTTTGCTGTATTTTATTATTGACTTCTAATAAAGTACCGTTGAAGGCCAAATCAACTTCTCGCCAAATCAACTTTTGCCCGAAAATATTAATGATCTGTTTCTTCTTTGTCGAGGAGACTTTCGATCATGTGCTAAACGACGAAATAGATCATGTTTCTCTGATGTTCATTTCTGAACATGAATCGATGCAAATATGGGATGCAAAATGAATGTTTGCATATTTTGTTCTTTTAACTTTGAAGTTATGCTGTAAATGTTGCTGTTGAGATAAAACTGACTAGTAGACTAGAGGTGTACATCATTGAAACTTAATTACAGTATCAGAAATCAACTTTGGGACCAGAAGCCAAAGATTTACCGATAAACTTTGCCTGTAAGAAGATTCATTTTGAAATTCGAAAATGTTCACGTAGTTTTATTTCAAAGAATAGTTCAAATTTGAAGTTATGCTGTAAATGTTTTCTTGAGATGACAAAAACATATTTATCTCTTTTTTTTGTGCCCAGCGTGTTCGCTGGATGGACTAATAAAAAAGAGAGACTGCTCGTTATCAAGCGTGCTCTACCTGCGTAAGAAATACAAATTACTTTTGTAAAAAATTACAAATAGGTCAAACATTATAAAAAACTGTCTTAAGATGAGAATAGTTAATTTTAAGGGGTACACGGTCCATAATCTTTAAATGCGGCAAATAAAGGCCATGAAAAGGAAAATAGGAAAGTCCTGGGGGCAAAGTTAAACCAGCTGATCAGAACTCGGTAGGAGACAAATCTATGGAGAAGTTTTTCACAGACATTCACAGGAATTTTGAGAGAAAATAAGTGAATGATGGCCACCAGAACTTTTAGTGATAAATGCCTTCTCTGGAAAAAAAATGCCACTTTCGTCTGCAATGAGGACAACACCATAAAAACATGTCATTGCAGGATGCGTCTTTTATCGACAAACAGTAAGTTTTGCAGTGTGGACATTTTAACTCGTTCTTCAGTAACTTTTTAGATTTCAGATATTTTATCATTTATTGAAGTGACAATAACAGTAAAAATAACTAAAAAAGATTTAGTTTTTGTACATTTGACGTGTACATTCGCCATTTTGTGTACACTTGTTTTGCTGTGACCCCCTAAAAGTAACAAAAGCCAACAAAATGGCTGGCGCATGTTCATGATGTGGTGTTTTTAAAGACTAAAGTTTTACATTTCAAGATTGAAAATACACAGATAAAATACACAAACGGAAAGAGAAAATTCAAAAGAATGCTCAGTTTCCTTTTGTGGACAAACAAGAGCTTTTTGCTATGAAATTGTCTTTCAAGGAATTCAACCGTGTTTTCTTCACGCCAGATCAGAGTGCTTGGCTTGTTTTGAACCAACTGATGCAGCAAGGTTTCTGAAGAAACTTGAGGTGCATTCTGCATTCCATGGTCAAGGTAAGTACGTTTTAAAAGGGAATTTTTGTATTTTGAAAGGTTTCATGGACGTTTTCTATATTTTGACATCGGCGTGAAAGAATAACCACAAAATGTCATTTGCTCAGCCGATTTAACTTGCGTGAACAGATGCACGATCCAGTTGGTGATGGGCGAATTGCTTTCCAGGATTAAGTTATGAGTTTTGAATAAAAATTTTAAAGAAATTAAGGTATTTATTTGTCATTGTTCATTCATTCAAGGTGAAAAATACATGCAGGGTTCATAAGGAAGATCTGAAAAAGTCCTTTTTAATTCTTTTCAAATTCAAAAAGTAAACAAATTACCTTTCATCCTTTCTTTATGTACTTCAAAGTCAACCATTCTCGCAATCGGGTGACTCCACACCATACGTTTGCTGAAAAGGAGTGCCAAATCTGACAAAGGTTCTTTTTTAAGGCGCGCCATCTGTAATAAAATCCCTTTTCGAAAAATTTCGTAACGAAACATAAAAAACGTAACGAAATAGGTTCGAAGAGTAACGAAATGAGTTCGAAAAGCAATACGATATCTTTCAAAAAGTAATGTGATACTTTCAAAATGAAATGTAACTCTTTCTAATCGACGGTTTCCATGGCTACGGAATGTAACTCTGCCCCTTCGAAATGTAGTCGTTATGAGTGTTACTATGGAAGTAAAATGTGTTCATATATGACGTGGAATTCATAGTCCTCCCCAAGTCCCCTCCTATAAAATCGAGTCAGCCATTTTCATTTTGGTCCTTCGTGTCATTCTTCAGTTTTTCCTTGTTTGTTTCCGCAACGAAACACTTCACGCTCAAGTGATGAAGCCAACGAAAGTCTTTTTTATGTTCTTTTTTTGCTTTGTTGTATGCTTAATAAGAAGGTATGTTTTTATTTCTATTTTTCGTTAAGCTTAACTGTACTGCATGGTTTTCACAGTGACGCCATCAAAGTGTAAGCTTGCAGTTAAAAAAGCGAGGTTTTACGCATTTTTGTTTATACATACATTGTACCAGGTTGAATATAATAAAATATAGATCTATGTACAAGTTTCCAGTCCCGTAGCATGTTTCTTTTCGAAGATAAACTTTCGATTTTCCACAGTGTTTATACACCAAAATGAAATGCTGTCTCCTTGAAAAAAAAGTCTCTCCTCTTGATTTTCAGAATTTTAACCATTTCAAGTATTAGAAGATGTGAAAAGAAAGAGCTCTTATTGAAAAAGTAAATTCCAGATGTTTTTGTTGCTTTCCAGTGGCCATATTATTGGACATGAGACTTTGACTTTGATCTTTCCCAGTTTATTTTTTTGGTGCTGTGTTTATTGTATGACAGTAAAAACGATCTCTTGGACTGTAAAAACTTATATTTGCTTCTTATTTTGCTTCTTTTGTTTTCTATGACACACAGTGCACATGCCAACAGGCAACTACGGTGGTTTGTA